GGATTGTAAAACCTCTTCAGGCCTGGGTGGACCTAATGTAGACTCTTAAACATAGATTGTAGAACCTCTTCAGGCCTGGGTGGTTGATTAATCACGAGTCTACATTACTCATGTCTCAAAACAATCTATGCAAGGTAAGTGGCTTTTGCGCACTGCGAGCACTGCCAGATTTGCAAGGGGAACTTGAGATGACAAGCAGCGGGTAAGCGAGCTGGATCAAAAACTCCTACCACGAGCACAATCTAATTGCAAGGCTGCATCAAGCGTGATAAGAACAAAAAGAGCCTCAGCTCTGTCAGTTCTATCAGTATTTTTTATGTATTCTAGATAGATCTTTTTTGGGGGGGGCGGCATCCATTCTGCTGACATGGTTTTTTCCGCCGACTCTGAGCCTCGATGTTCAGGTGGATGAGAGTGGTGAGAGTGGTGAGCGCATGACTGAAAGGAACGACGACCAACACGCAGCACATCACGGACCACTGCCTTTTTAAGCTTTCCAGGGAGGGAGTGCTTGGTGAGAAGTCGAGCTGCTTTGTCTACGACCTGTACTGAATCGATCACTCACGTCCACGCAATCGAACCTCGGTGCAGCTCGTGTTGTCCAGCAGTAAAAACTGCACTCTCTTCAAGTTCTTCCTGCTTCTCGCAGTAACAGGATGTTGCGACTTAAAAAAGGTTCTGCTAACGTGAGTTCGAAAAATGAGAAGGTGAGAAACCTAGACGACGAGTGGCCCCAATGCATTTTTCATCACGTAGGAGGTCAGAGTGTGAGTTACCTATTGAGTGTTCAGTGTGAAGTGTTAAGTCGAGTGACTTGAGGTAGTGTGTGGGTCTGTGTGTGTGTGTATCTATGTCTGTGTGTGTATGAGTCTCTGTCTGTGTGTGTGTCCGAGTAAAATGAGGCAGTGCGTGGGTCTCTGTGTGTGATGTGTGTGTGTGTGTGCATGAGTCCCTGTCTGTGTGTGTGTCCATGTCTGCTGCTGGTGAAGGTCTTCACTGTAGATATAGTGAACGAAGTAGCGCGCAGGCCTCCCAAACCCCCCACCGGCGGCCACGCGGTGACAGCCCAGCTCATCGTCGTGAGCATTTGAGCTGCTGGTAAGGGGAGAAGCAGCGTGCACGCCTCCAGGAAATCTCAATGAAAAAAGCGAGCTGGAATGAACACAGAAAATTGCTGAGGCAGGTACGCAACAAGTTTGTCGAAGCAGTGACCTGTCAGAGGAGATGCGTCCATCGATATACGATCAGAGGTAACGGTTTCCTTCACTCCAGGACACAGCTTTTCTAGGATGTAGTTAACCAACCACTATGGTTGTCATTGACTAATTGACTGTCTCAAACAAAAACGTGACAAAGTAGCATGAGGTGACACACAGCAGGCACTGCAGATGTTTAGCGTACTCTCGCTGTTCAGCTCGCGACTAGTATCATGGTGAACGAAGTAGCGCGCAGGCCTCCCAAACCCCCCACCGGCAGCCAAGCTGTGACAGCCCAGCTCATCGTCGTGAGCATTTGAGCTGCTGGTAAGGGGAAAAGCAGCGTGCACGGCTGCAGGAAATCTCACTGAAAAAAGCGAGCTGGAATGAAAATAGAAAATTGCTGAGAAAAAAGAAAATTGCTGAGGCAGCTACGCACTCTCGCCTGCATTCCGCGCACTCGACACGCACGGTCTCCGCAGAGGGTTGCGCGGGTACCGGTCAAATCGCACTCTCGCCTGCATTTCGCGCACTCGACACGCACGATCTCCGCAGAGGGTTGCGCGGGCATGGGACAAATCGCACTCTCGCCTGCATTTCGCGCACTTGACATGCACGATCTCCGCAGAGGGTTGCGCGGGCATGTGACAAATCGCACTCTCGCCTGCATTTCGCGCACTCAACATGCACGATCTCCGCAGAGGGTTGCGCGTGCAGGGGACAAATCGCACTCTCGCCTGCATTTCGCGCACTCGACACGCATGATCTCCGCAGAGGGTTGGTTGCGCGCGCAGGGGACAAATCTGACTCTCGTCTGCATTTCGCGCACTCGACACGCGCAGAGGGTTGCGCGCGCAGGGGACAAATCGCACTCTCAGCTGCATTTCGCGCACTCGACACGCACGATCTCCGCAGAGGGTTGCGCGCGCAGGGGACAAATCGCACTCTCGCCTGCATTTCGCGCACACGACACGCACGATCTCCGCAGAGGGGTGCATTTTCGGTTGACGCTGTTCGTCCACCACCGTCGACCGTCCGCCTTTAAGAGAGAATTTATAAGAGTGGGGAAAGGTTTTTCATTAGGACATCTCCCGCGCAAGTTTTCCAATACTCATACTCATACTTTTACTTTACTTGCATCCTTGCACTGGTTGCATCCTTGGACTGGGATTGCACTTACACTTGCATGCTTGCCCTTGGATGCTTTTTGCCCTTACACTGGGATATGTATTAGACGTGTCAGTGTTCAAGTGTCAGTGTGGAAGCGTAAGTGTTCAAGTGTAAGTGTAGAAATGTCAGTGTTCAAGTGCAAGTGTGGAAGTGTCAGTGTGTAAGTGTCAGTGTCGCAGTGTCCGTGTTCAAGGGATTTTCCGGAAGAACCCTTCGCAATGCTTTCGGGAAAAAACAATACACAAAAGCCGCCTCGCCTCATTCCGATGGTCACGGGGTCGTCTTCACCTCGCTCCTTCCCTTTTCGGATGGTCCTTACAAGGACGAGGACGGGCCCGGCCGGCTCGCTTCCGCAAGGCAAGTGGGACGTTCCCACCAATGGGGTGTGCATGAAAATAGGGAGACCTCCCAGGCAACGACCCCTGATAGATTGGTTGGGAGGTCACCCTATTAAAAGACATACACAAATGAACACTCTTGGTGCCCGGTCTTCGGTGCAAATTCATGCATGCGTGGCATGACAGCGATGGACGGCATCTGCAAGGTCACAGAAGCTCAAGACTGGACTCGTCAAGACCATCTGCTGAATATCCACTCCAGGTAGTTCAAAAAACCACCGCGGCCTTGACATCTTTTCCGGAGAATCCCTGAGCTGTCCAAGGGATGCAAGACATTCTTTGAAAACAACAAGTGAGAAGTGTGTGGACTCATCGCAACGTCCGATTCCGACCGCTCCAATCTCGGGGCCTGGTCTTCTCGCAAGAAGCGGCCAGCCTGCACAATCGCCTGTCGACCATGTTTGCATCTCCTGTATAGAATGTTTGCCGACATGGACACTTAAAACATCTTTAAACCAAACAATGTAGGCAACAAAAGAGAAGCAAACATTAGTAAAGACGGTTGGGGATTCTTTACTGCCTTGTTTTGACAACTATATATTATAGACATATATGATATACTATATAATGTCTTTTACCTTGCTTTGACACCTGAAGGCTCCGCGATGTGCCTTCGTCGCCGTGGAGATTTGCCGCGAACCCGTGGCTAGCACCACTGCACGGGAGCTCTCCCTGCAAAAAGGCCGTGGATCTGGAGAATTGTGCAAGCACTCAAGCTACTTTTGATCACGTTCCCACGGCCTAAGAAGCTTGTTTTAGTGGTTTCGAATCGAAAGTTCAGAGGAAAAGAACGAACGAAGGCCGGCCTTATCCTGCTCTTAATCGCAGCTGCCATTTTCGACATTTGGCCCTTCGCAGGACCTCGTTCAACGAGCAACGAATCGCCGGACCATCCACACGGACGTGGTCGTAACAAGGAAAGGTTCAACGCCTGAGGTGAGCATCTGTGATGCCTCGATTGAAATGTCTGCACTCCTCAGCCATTGAGAACCAAACATAGCACTTTCCAGTTTCGATCGGCATTTTGGTCTGAGCTGAGGCTTACACATCTGCGGCAAGAGCATGCAATCGAGGAACGTGACTGTCGTCTCCTCATCAAAAGCACCGCAACGTCCATTGATTTCGGAAAATGCATTTCCATCAAACCGCTTGCTCTATGTGAAGGAAAGCTGGGCACATGCATGAAGAAGGATCTCCTGTTCATTCAGGCGAACTGGCCTGAAGGATGGTACTGCAGCTAGCACCTGCTGAAAAACAAACAAAAACAACCCAGTCTTCCACACCGGGCACCAACCGACCCGTACACCGTGCGAGGCCTGGTCACCTTTGAGGTCCACTCCTTGCAGCAACTCGTTGGCAGCGGTCACGGCCTCCAGGCGTTTTTGGTCAATGGCAGGGATGGTTTTTCTCTTTTTTGGTCAATTTCCGGTCAAACGGGAGGAATGGAGGAGGCTGAATACCAGCCCTAGCTGCAAATCTCTTTTGTTGCAAACCTCTGCTTGCACGCGCCTTGAACGCCTGATAAGTAGCTTGTGGTCCAACTGCGCGAATCACTGCTCTTCCACTTTCTTGGATTCTGTTTTTGATGTCCTTCGACAAGCCTAAGTGCGCCACATGTCACACCAGGCCCCCCGTCAAAGGTGTTTTGTCTGTGCAATGGAATCGTCGCCCTGGTCATTCAACGTGGTCCATGATACACGAGGACCTGGTTGCACTGAACGGCATGGTTACTAAAGACACGAACGCCTGCCGTTCGCCGGCCCGGACAAGGTTCTTCGGTACCCAAGTACACCAGCATAGACCCCAGAGAGCCAAACCCTGGGCCGCAGCACCCTGCAGCACCCTGCAGCAACACCAGCACCCAGGCTCCGAACTTCCAAAACTTGAAGTAAGAAACCTCAAGAGCTCTTCCGATCGGATTTACCATGTAGTCCAGCACCGTGTAGACCACCAAGCCCTTGACCAAGCGATCGAGCTCATATCACCCGACAGCTCAGAAATGCGAAAATCAGAGACCGCGCCACGGCACTGGTCATCTGTGCTGGTAGCAGTCCCAAGTCATCTGCCACATCCCCCCCAGTCTACTTAAGCACTTAAAGAAAACTCCTGTCGAACCCAATGGGTGAATGCATCAATCAAGTGCATCAAACGGTACAGCAGTGGCAAGTGCAACAAGTCCTTTCGATCTTCTCAAACACAGAGAGCACAAACTAACTATAACTATATATTCCCCTTCATGACTCAAGCTGCACGCTTTCTTTCGGAACCAAAGGAGCTTTTGCTGAACCTTTTGGAAGCAAACAAGTCCCCAGTGGATTCCTGGCCAGACCCGCAAGGAGTTCACATGTTCACATCTGGAAGCATGACCTGCCTTCTCAGAAGAAAGACGTCTGTCTTGTCGATTCCTCGGAATTCGGAATGTGAGAAGACCTATAAGATTCTCGCATCGCACAAATGGAAGTGTTGACTTTATTCAACCAGGCTGGTCTTTCTATTCAGTTATACTGTGGTTTCAGCGTAGATGGCACAATTCCCAAGGTCGGTGGTTTGTAAGGCCCCCATAAAGACCTCCTTGGGTGCCGGTGCCATGTACTCTGATAAACACTGTAGTTTACTTAATCAGGATTCTACATTACACTTGTCATTCAGATCGTCTTCCGGCAAGGCGCCGCTTTAGCGGCTTTGGACGGGAACTCGTCGCCCAAATCGTGTCGACCTGGGAGCAATGTTTGAACGTTGGACTTGACCCAAATGTAATGATTCACAAAAACCCGTCTCCAGTATGGTTATATCTCCATAGCCTTGGGGCAGTGATCCATCAACAGTGAACATTGGAAAACTCTCACTTGCGAGGAAAAAATGGATGATGCACTCCTGCAGACGTCCAATTCAAAAGTTGGGGACATCAACATATGGAGAACAACACCTTCAGAAAAGTGACGAGTCTGACTGAATTTTAACCTCCAAAATTGAATGAGAGGGTAGACACTATAAGTCTTTCTTCAAGAGTGAAACCGGTAAAAGTATATCCCATTCACTGGGCCCGAAAGATGATGCTTAGTTTGGAGGCCTTTGTCCCTGATCATCTTTGATCGAAGGTTGCAGGTCATGGGACGCACACACACAAGGTAAAGACATGTTCGTTTCCAAGGACTGCACGAGACCCTCGTCGCCAGCTCTGCAAGCTGAACTGGCTGTGCATTGCACCGCCTCGGCAAACAAGCATGCGTTGGGTTTGGAGAAAAGGGGGCGTAGTCACAGTCCGATCACAACGCAACAAATACACAAATACAAGAGCATATAGTATATAGTAAAAACATATAATACATCATACATAATTTGTAGTAATATAATTGATAGAACATTAACAAAATGTGTATATATGTTTACCTATATAGAATATATTGAATAGATAGTTTCTTTGCACCACTCAGAATCAACTGAGGGTGACTAGCAGAGGATAGGTGAGAAACCATTAGGGCCAAGCAGCAGGCAGCCGAACTGAAATGCCATGCCGGACATGCAAAAAAGAGGGAAGTATCCCACCAAGTTTGCAAAAGGCCAAAAATGCCTCAGCAACTCAGTGGTTCACTTCAAATCATGTTTTTTTTGTAAACTGCTGATTTGGAAAAACAATTGGAAATCTAAAATGTCTAAACAACTGTTTGGCACTTCTCCATGAATCTTAACAGGACCTGCCAAAAACGGTCCAAGCACACAGCCAATGGCCGTTGACTGTCCAAGATGCCAGGCCCATGGCACGCCGGTGCATGGCCCCCAATGCGACGCGCCGGTGCATGGCCCCCCATCGCGACGCACCCATCAATGGAAAGTCTGCTTGGAAGCGTAAGTTGATGGTTTGCCACATGGAGCAGTCATGTTTCAAAGGATCTCACGCATGTTCGATGACAAAAAACGTGGTCTGTTCTTATGTTCTTAAACGACTCCGCAAGGTTCCATGGATCACTGAACCACATTCTTATGTCGGCCCAGCGCTCGGCAGATTCGGCAGCTGCGCAAAAATGTCAATAAGTGTTTCATGTCCATGGCAGGTGGGGCAGGGCCACAAAGTGTGAGACGTGACAGGGACTAAGTAGCAAGCAAAAAGAACTTTCGTCGCCAGCACCACTAACACTGGCAACACGAGACCACCTTTGCATCACGTTAGCAACAGCAATGCTGCAATTGGGACAAAAAGGTTTGCTCAGCGCATGCAATTCTACCGGTTTGACACAGTTTGTAGAGCTTGCGTGAAAGTTTGACACACAAACTCTCGACGAAAAATCGAAAGCTCTCGTGCTCAAAACACCTAGTCGGTCAAGTGTCTCAACGACCCGAGTCGATAAATGAAGAAAAAGCAGGCAAAAGACACACACACACACTCTTTTCACCGCACACTTGAGCCAAAGTAACGTTCGTAACCCACATGCAAAACATTCAGGTAAAGCTTCGGAGAAGCTTTACAGACATTCTCAAAAGGTCACGTTGAGACCTCAAACATGTTGCTGTCCAGCAAACCGCTTCAAACACAATTCACTCTGTTCACGAAAGTTCCAAAAAGGTTCTCAAAGGTTCACAAAAGTTCTCAAAACAGTTGGAAACGACCAAAACCACATTCCAAACGTCTTTGAGTGTCCACGACACCATCGCAAACATTCTCTAAACATGTGCAAACATTGAAAGTTCCCTTTCAATGTCTCTGGAGGGTTACATGCGGCTTCAAAGAAGTGGTATGGAGTCTTCGCTCCTTCAGTACCGTTGAATTTCTCAACTTCACACCCCCTTTTCGAAGCTCACATGCCACTTTGGACAGTAGTGAGCCGCTGTGCAAACAAACGCTTGTTCTCACAGCAGAGGCACAAACCAAAAGAAGCCACCTTCTTGCCTTCCAAGTACTGGCATTGACGGTCAGTTGGAATTTGAAGCCATGAGGCCTCACAAAACCCTCCTTTACGGCAGTTGCCGTGTTCTCAACAACAGGCTCGCCAGCGGCAGCGCTCGAAGCAGAGGCGCTCAAAAAAGCAGCAGCTCTCAAAGAGAGTCTCTCTCTCTCTCATCAGCATTGCACTCTGCCTGTCCAGACCTTGACTTCTGTCGCAAAAGGCTCTTCACCATTCCAACAGCCCCAACAGCTTGAAACCACATGCATGCCCAACGCGCCACACTTTTGCTGGGAACAATTTGGACAGCGGCCTTCCATTTAGGTGTTCTCTCGAGCCTGCCCACACGCAGAGTGGATTGTGCTGCCCCACAGTGGTCAACTCCGCAGGGTGGCTTGCTCCGTCACCTGTCTCTCCTTTACTATGGAGGTTGTTCTCCAGTGTTTGGTGTGTTGGGGGCGCGGAGCCGCACTACTATTGAAACTGCCATCAGGCTCGCTGGTGCCCATGGTGGAGAAGGCGGATCCATTTTGGGAAGTGCAAGTTGTGCGCAAAATTCAAATGCATTGCGTTCTGCGCCAGTGCCTCTCCAGGTCTTTTGCATCCCAATCTGACGAGCATGCACATCTGTGTGCAGCCAGCAAAGACTTGTAGAGCCGGTGGGAAATATAGCTTCTCCAAGGAGGTGCAATTCAGAAGGGCGTCTCGCCCAAATACGCCTTGCTGCTTTGGCCAGTCGGAGCTGCTGCAGCTGAGAGCAATGCGCGAAGGTGCCACAGTTTGTGAGATGTCGACCACCTGCAACCTTGTGCAATGTTCACATGCTGCTGGATCCAACCAGTTGAAGGCTGGCAAGACTAACGACTCCATTTCTGCCTCGAAGAAGCAACCCTAGGGCATGGAACGATACAAATCGGCCGCATCGTAATCCATTCTTTCAAAGTTGAGCTGCTGCAAGGTGCTGCATTTCTGGGCTCTCGGCCGAAATCGTGCCTGTGGTGCCAGTCGATTGACTGGGTCCCCAATCCGTGCGAGTTTGCCAATGGCATGTGTTCCTGCTTCCACTTGCACGCGCCGCAAATCGACCATGTGTGTGAAAGCATGGGGTAGCCGCGTTCTGGAGTCCAGAAACGGACCCCAAAACTGGCCAAGTCGTCCGGACACAAGCAAATCAAATTCAGACTGAATGAGTGGCCTATTTTTGGGGTCCGTTTCTGGACCCCAAAACGGGGGCCGTTTTGTCGGCAAAATTTTGGTCACCGCGGCGAAAAATAGCAAGAGTTTCGATTGTTTCTGCACGTACAGTAGTAGTAGTAGTAGTAGTAGTAGTAGTAGTAGTAGTAGTAGTAG